AAAGTTAATGACAACATATTTATGCCATGTTTCTGTATATTCGAATGTATGTTTACAATTGTTTGCAGATTCATAAGAAAAAAGTAGTGAATATGGCAGATGAAGCTTAGAGACCCCTCCAGAATTCTGTAATTTTTCATCAACTGAAAAATATCTACCATCTGAAAATGAAAATGGCTTTCTGAGGAAACAAGAGGTATAGCTGCATATGCAGGTTTAAATTCAGACTTCCTGTCCACATTTATAAACCACCAGCCCCTTTAAAATGAGTATTTAGATGACGTAAGAAACTGATTTTCTGATGGCCCCTGAAGAAAAAGGATGGATTGAAAAATAAGATTTAGACAACAAAAGATATATATAATAGCTAAAACTTTTCACATAACCTGAAAAATGTAAATCTTCAAAACTTTTGTTCATGGATATATAAAATATTTTTAATTCAAAGTACTCTGTTCACATTCAAACCAGACTGTTATGAACTTATGGGTTGAGTTCCAATCTTACTGAAGTATTTGGAGCTTAAAATAGGTTTGTTTCAAGTTCAGAGCAAGTTGCTTATTAAAATACCCTGAAATATAGAAGAGAAAAAACAAAAGATAACTTATGCACCCATAAGTAAGACACTAATCAAAATGTCTTCAACTGAGTCAACATTATCATCTATTTACACTTTTATAAAATAACCTGAGTGTACTATTTCCAAGGATATTGAACCTTAGAATTTATTCACTAGTGAGTTATTGGGCTTTGTAGAGGGGATTTTACACTCTCATTTCTGTTTTTGGTATTCTGTAAGGAAACAAATTAGATGAAGAATGTTAATAGTATTAATATAGTAATATATCTGTTCATTTAAAAAAAAAAGTTGGACCTTGCTCACCATAATTTGAATCATGGATTATAGTTATATATTAGAGCTGTTAATTTTCAATTGTTGCATCTCATTTTCTAAAACTTTGTTTTTAAATGCTGGTAGCAGTTATCTCTCCCCCCCCCCCCCCCATGTACTCTGCATGGGACTACTCTTGGAAGAGCATTTGGAAGCTACAGCTGGTACAGAATGCAGCTGCACAGATAGTTCTAGGAGCTCCTAGAGCAGCCCATGTAACACCACTGTTGCATAAACTGCACTGGTTACCAGTGTGCTTTCATGTCCAATTCAGTGTGTTGCTTTATGACCTTAAAGCCCTTTACTGCATGAGTCCAGGCTACCTGAGCAAGCAAGCCAATGGGATTGACCCAGCCACTCGTTCCTGCAGAAAGGGGTATGCTGAGAACCCTGTCAGTCAAGGAATTCTGGCTGGCAGCATCCAGGAGAAAGGCTTTTTCTGCCAAGGCTCCCACCCTCTGGAACATCATGCTTCCCAAGCTGACATGGGCCCCCCTCTCTTGATCTTTCATAAGAACTTCAAATCTGGCTCTGCCAACTGACCTGGGACCTCAATCGGGGCATTCCATGTTGGAGGTGGTTATTATCCTAAGATCACACCACCACATCATGGTATTCTGCGTTTTTAACTATTTTAGTCTCTTATTTAATATTCAATATTTTAATATTTTGTACCTTTGTTTTTATGATGTTTATAAGTCATCCAGAGTCACTTGACAGCGACCTGGGTGGCATATAAATTTAATAAATAAAATAAGTGAGAACATCTACAATTATAATTTACTGTCAGCAACAGAGACTTAAGTCTTTCAGTATTTTCTGTGAATTGCTCTACTTAAAAGTTGTACTAATATAGTTGTAACTAAATATTGTAAGAAACAACTTAGCATCCTAATAACTGAAATAAAATATACTCTTTTATATATTCCATTATTAATTACATTATCCAAATGGTTTGTCCTTAAGAACAGTCATTTTGTATAAACACAATCAAATTATTTACTGAGCACTGAGACTTTAAAACTAACATTAAACATTCTTCAGTATAAATAATTGTAGAAAGAAAATATTAAATTAACTTTAAATTATAAATTCCTCGTAAGAATGACTGTTTGCAAAAGAAATAGCAATGCCTACAATCATTTAATTTATAAGGTGTCAACAATTGTAAACAAAAGCTATCAATCTTCCTTTCAAAGTTAATACCATTCTCCATAGCAGTTCCTATTGATAATATCCTAGCATATGATTTATAGCAAAAAGCTATAATTGCTAAGCAATAAACATACAAAAAACTTTTTCTTGTATTTCCTATTCCCAAAGGATATAATTACCATGTTTCCCTGAAAATAAGACCCTGGCACATATTTTTTTGAACCCTGAAATAAGCGCTTGGCCTTATTGCCATGCACTCAAAAGCCTAATCGGGCTTATTATCAGGGGATGTCTTATTTGGGGGGAAACAGGGTAACAGGACATGAATTCCACTGTCAGCCAACTTAATTATGTTAACTACTCAGGTAACCAAATGCATAAGAATCAATTGGAAGTAATTTCTACTATTACATAAAGGTAGAATTTTGATCCAAAGTCCCTTGCTTCAAATCTGGTTTTACTAAATCAGTTCAATTGGAAGCATATTTAATGTCTGAGATTAAAGGATATTATTGCCTAAAGTCCCAACGCTAATGCCTTAATCTCAATTCAAGAATATCTGTGGGATGGGTCAAAAACTGCAGCTATGTTTTGTTATGGATGAATCCATCATCACACAAACAGAAGTCTACATGTTTAAAGGGGTTTCTATTTTCCGTACACCAAACACCCACATCTTCCTATCCTCAGATTTTGAGAATACATGACAGGACTACTTCAGTCAGCATTCTTTCAATACACTATTGACATTATATTCCACCTATGCGCCTCTGAATTCTTTAAAACAAGCACAAACATATTCCTTCTGAATAATTTGCAATCTTGTATTTCAGATAAATTTGGAGTCAATATAGTTTCTATCTGTGATATTTTCTTTAGACACAACCCTAATAAATTTAAGTTTGACTCTCTTATCAAACTAATTTTTTTATAATCCACATTCTGTAGCATATTTTGTTGTGCTATTAAACTCAAAAAAGAAACCAAAGAATAACCGACTTCCTCTTCCTTTGCAAATAGTATTAGCCAAGACTATTTCAAAATTTGAAAGGGACTTACACCCTTTCCATAAAATTATGGTTTGCCCAACTACATGGAGTACTGCAAAAATAAAGCAAAGATATCATTCTAATTCTGGGCAAATGCCTTAAGATTCAGAGATTTGTTATCATTCACAGGGAAATCTCAGCAGACTGCATCAGGGCAATAACAGATGGGTAACCCAATCCTCAAAACATTTGAAGAGCGCCAAAAATGGCAACAGAATCTATTTTCTCACATTTTGCCACCTACCTACATTTGTTATGGTTAAATTTATTACTGGTATCATTCACATTGGACTCATAGTATATTTACTTTAAAAACCTATAAGAGACGTATTTAAAGTGCCTGAAAAAGGCAGAACAGATATATATGTGGCAATCTTTTGCAAAGTATTTTAAAGGATGAGCATGATTCAGCTGAAGTGAAAAGCAAAAGCCTCCTCACTAAAACCTGAAGCGGTTATAACAGTTTCATTATATCCTAGTAACTCTCACAAGTGCTATAAAAATCAAGGAGAAAAAGAATGAACACCTCTAAAGGTATCACCTCACCTACCTAATCAAATAAGCAATTTCATCCTCTCCCTCTTTCTAGCCTTATGACCAGGAGAAAATTACATGTCTCTAGTTCGTTCGGGGGAGAGGGAGGAATATCAAGAAAAACTCACGAAAGGCAATCTTGGCGATCTACTACAGCATTACTACCCAGCTACAAGTGACCCAAAAAAAAATAAAAATAAAAGCGAGAGTTAACAAAAATAAAAACGGGCGACGAGCAGAGACCGACAGAGGGCAATTCCGCAGAGTCCAGCGGTGGCTCCGGTGCGTCTTTCGCGTGTTCCCAGCTTTGCCTGCCTTGTGCCGCTAACTGAAAACCTCATCTGCTGCACGCTATCTGGCCTAATCTTCCTACCTACCTCCCGCTTTTGTTCCCTCTCGCCTGACCGAACAGTGCCGGAGGACTCGAAACCTTTGCACGTTGCATCCTCCGGGTTTTTTTTTTATTTGTTTTGTTTTGTTTTTCAAAGCCATCCCTTTTTCCCCCCTCGGGGTCCCGCACGGATATTCTTGGGTTTTTGTTTTTGTTTTCCCTGCCCCTCCTTCCAAGATCTCTCCCGAGGGCCGCTTCCCACCTCCGCCTCGGGGAAGAAGAGCGAGGGGGGCCCTCACCTGAGAAAGCTGCCTGGGGTTGGGGCAGCCGAAAAGCGCAGAACTGGAGCTGAAGCTGATGGCCCCCCGGCGACTGAGGACGTGCTGCGGGACCGGCCTGTCCAGAGGCAGCACCGGCAGTTGATAGCATACTTCCATTGAAAACGGGGGCAGCACCGCCGCCGCCACCACTACTTCTTTTTCTTCTTCTTCTTCTGGGGTGCCAATCCAAGCCAGGCCCGGCTCGGGGATCAAGGCAGGCCCGGCTCACCGCTTTCACCTGCCCCACGCAAAACCCGGGCAGCGGTAGAAACGACTTCTTTCTAACCGTCCGAGCAGGGTAAGCGGAGAGGCAGCCTTAGAGGATGATCCGGAAGAAACCAACATCAAGCCTCCCCCCCGCTCCGGCTCGAATAGACGAGAGTCCCTCGGTCAGCTCCGCAGCCGGGACGGCGGCATCCCCGCCGCTAGTTCAGGTCGTAGCGGGCGGGCCCGGCGGCTGCTTGTAACTGCGGCACTCCCGGCCTGATTTGGAGGACACACAAACTCGGCTGCGGCAACGCCGCTATTGTCCAGCACGAGGCGCGGCCCCGCGCACGAGGGGCGGGGCCAGGTGCTGGCTGGAGAGTGATGGCGGTAGTGGCGCCGGAAGCTAACGGAGTGGGGGGGGGAGGGAGAGAGAGGGAGAGAAGAGTTGCGCGTGCAGCAACCCGTCCTCCTCGCCCACACTGAGCACGTTCTCCTCCCTCGGTGTCACGCGAGTGCACCGCCTCTCCAGAGGAAACCTCGTCCTGGAGTGAGCTGCGGGTGCGACGATCCCCCGGCGGGAACGTCTTACGCCGTGACGTCATTACCCTGCCTGATGGCCCCCTTTCTCCCCCCCCTTTTTTTCCTTTTTTTTTTTAACCCTTTTCGCTCGCCAGTTTTATTTTTGTTTTCTTCGGGGAGTTGTGTAAGGAAGGAGGTGCCCGATCTATCTCCACTAGGTTGTGAGGTCCGTTGTTTTTCTTTATTTTTAGATAAGGGCAAAGGACAGGGTGTACGAAGTGTTTGAAGGCTTCGTAAAACTTTTTTTTATGCTCAGACCTTGACCTTAAACCACCTCAGCCTCTCTGAAGAAGCAGTTGAAATTACTTCCTCCTTGTCCCCTAACCTGTCCTAGCATGAGTTTGTCTTTAAGGGCCCTCTTCTCTAGCTATGATGCTGGAAACACTATATGTGTGTGTGTGTGTGTGTGTATGTATGTATGTGTGTGTGTATGTATGTGTATATATGTGTATGTATATATATAAAGTTGTGGGTGGCGTGATAAAGGGATTGATTGACTCATGTATTCACTTACGGGTCTGTGGTTACAATTTTTTTAATACTGTTTTGGTAACCTACAAAACCTGTTTGGTAAAAAAAAAAAAAAGGGATTAGCGTTGGGAAAGGTGTTGTAAGCTACATAAAATAATGCTCCACGCAGTAATACTACCTACAGGTGTTAAAACTGATAATCTGCCTACAGTTTTGCATAGAAAAATGTAAGCCTCATGGGAAGAAACTGCATCACTTCTGGGCTGTTCTTTTGCTCCAAGGAAAGCAAATGCAGTCAGATGGGCCTTAAGGAGAATGATGCTACTGTGCACCCGCACTGTTGATATAAAATATTAGCTCTCAGCCTTTCTTTGGTCACTTTTAGTTGATAATATCTCAGACAGTGGTTTCCTTGTACTTCCTTAACAACTCCCAAGTTACATGAACTAAATCTGACCTCAAAGACTAAAGTAACCTTAGATTTACAGAAAGATACCACTGATGAATTCACAAGATTACGCCAGTAAATAAAATGCCAATAAATAAATACTGCAAGGACTATGTCCCTCCCATACCCAAGGCTTTAATTTCCCCATTATGATTTGAGTCTTCCTAGAGTTCTTTGCAAGCTGAACTGATGAAGAATGAAGGTATTTCTTCTTGGCTATGCAGTGGAAACTCCCATGGTATAAAATCCCTTGTTATAGATCCTGGAACTTGCCCAATATCTTGAGTTGTATAACTGTTTCCCTTTTCTGGATTGCTTGAAGCACATCACTTTTTCACCATACTGAAAAAGCAGTAATGAAGAAATGATAAAACAGGAAGGGACACTGGCCGGATTGCCAATTTTTGAACTCCCCTTTTAGTCAGTAGAATGATTTATTTTCCCCAGGAAGCAATACTGAGGGACAATCACCATGGTGAAAACTGCTCTACAGGGCTGAGAGCAATGGTTTTATGATCTTACAAAATAATTTGGATGAATCATAATTCTTTCGTGGGAACCAAATCCCAACAGGGTTACAAGTCAATTACTATATTGCAATGAATATACTATAATTAGTCATAGTATATTCACTGAAATCAAGTGTGACACTGAAATCAAGTCAGCATCCAGTTTACTGCATATTGAGAATTTATTTTTTGCTTTAATGTACAATAATATTTGACACAATAATATTTGACCATATATGAATGAGAAAATTGTGTTTCAGTAGAAGATAAGTATGAGAATGTTCTAAAATTATGTTAAAAGTATAAACTTCTTTAGCTAGTTTCAGAAAAGACTGTACAATAAGAAACATTTCCAGAAGGTGGGGGAAATTGCAGACTACAGGAACCAAGAGCACTACTCAGGACACAGATGAACCTTCAAGTGCTTCAATGACCTTAAAAGGATGCAGATTACCAGCTGTCTGCAAGGGATATAAATCCTTCCATTCCCCACTATCCTGTCAGAGCTGAAGAAGCATCTTGGATGAGAAGTGAAAGTTTGCAAAAGAAAAAATAACAAAGTCCAGTCGCCTCCTGAAAAAGCACCTTTGGGACACAATTTGGATAGAACATGGTTCGGTCTTTTGCAAGTCAGTAAAGGAGTAAGACGACTTAATATTCTCACCTTATTTATTCAATCTAAATGCTGAATATATATTGAGAAAATATGGATTAGAAGATGAGGGTATTTTTTTAAAATGGAGAAAATAATCAATAATCTGCACAATATAGATGACATTAGTAACTGAAAATGAAAATCATCTGCTGTAATAGAAACCAAAGAATACAGTGAAAAACTGAGATTAAATGTAAAGAAGATCAAACTAACGACAATGGGTACAGCGACTACCCTTAGAATTGACAGTGGAAATAATGAATTGACGATTGTGCCTTTATCATCAGGATGCACAGTCAATAAATAAATATACTATTGTATAGACTATGACTTAGTAAAGTAGCAACGAAGACCTTACAAAACATATTCAGATGACAAGATATCTCTATACCTGTAAAGCAGAGGTGGTATTCAGCAGGTTCTGACCAGTTCTGGAGAACCGGTAGCGAAAATTTTGAGTAGTTCGGAGAACCAGTAAATACCACTTCTGACTGGCCCCACCCCCATCCTCTGCCTCCCAAGTCCCAGCTGATCAGGAGGAAATGGGGATTTTGCAGTAACCTTACCCTGCCACGCCTACCAAGCCACACCCACAGAACCGGTAGTAAAAAAATTTGAATCCCACCACTGCTGTAAAGGTCAGAATCAAGCACACATTTTTTGGGTGACACTTTAAGGAAGTGAAAGCTGGAGATTGAACAAATAGGCTAGAAAGAGGATTGATGCTTTTGAAGCTTGGTGTTGGAGAAGAATTCTAAGAATACCAAGAACAGTCAAGAAAACAATTACATGAATCATAGAATAAAAAAGAGTTTTCACTTGAACAAATTAGCAGATTCTAATCATATTTAGTACATATACAAAGATCTAGGTCTCTGGGATAGGTGGAAGGGAAGAGAAAAAAGGGACTACTAGCAGCAAGTTGGATAAACTCAGTCACAGCAGGATCAGAAGCTCTGAGGAGGATCCATCTGACAAGAGATTACCTGATGCAGAATATATCTACGTAGTTGCTAAGCCTAGACACCTAGATAGCACATAATAATTAGTCAATGAACTTTTTCCTTTGTTTTTTTTTTAAAAAGTCACAATTGAGACATAAACACTTTTACAAACATCTTAAGAAAAATCAAGTTATTTTAAATGTCTGTGGAGATTCTCAGTCAACCAGGTCATAGTTGTCCCAAGGTGCTTTTTCAAGAGGCAACTGGACTTTCTGGTTTTTCTTTGAAGATCTCACTTCTCATCCAACAAGCTTCTTCAGCTCAGCTTGGAGAAGTGAAACATCTTCAAAGAAAAACCAGAAAGCCTCTTGAAAAAGCACTTTTGGGTCAAGTTATTTTACTATATTAGAAAATCACATTTTTTTCTTCAATTATATTTGCAGCATCCATCTTGTTTTTAATTTTTATTAACTGTCTTTATATCCAGTGACATTAGTGAACTGATTGATACATAATACCGAACTACTAGTTATAGTAACTAGAGAATATATTTCCCTCCATGAAAGTTGTTAAGACAGAGCAATAATAAGTTCTTATGTCTAGATATGCTGCAAGATAAACATTTGGTTCTTTGTTTTTTAACCATAATATTCATATTCTGCCTATATTGCAACAGTACTTATGTAAACAATGTACTCACAAGTTCAGAACTAGTCCAGTGACTCTGAGCCCCCTCAGTTGTTTTAAAAGATCAGTCACGCTATGCAAATTTTTGCATTAATGCAGTTATGAGCATATGAAATACGGCTTTGTGTATGACGTAAACAATTTCCAAACATAACCTATAAATTAAATTCATGTGTGTTGACGGGTGCTAAATAAATATAAGGGAGAAAATGTTCTCAGAAGAAAGATAAATAACAGAAAGATTCCAAATTGGTATATCCATTTTATTTTACCTACATCCTGCTTCTGGTGCCAAAAGAAATAATTTAAGAGCCAAAATAGCATAATCACAGGTGTGGAAGGCTTAAAAAGAAAGAGAGTGAAACAGAACTCCAGATTGTTTTGTGATTTCAGGGCATTATGACACCTCAGCTAACAAGGCTTCTTTCTTCATTTTTAATTTTTCCTCTTCATTTCCTTTTCCCTCCATGCCCAGTTGTGCACCTGCTAGGCCATATGCAACTTTTATTTTGTAAAACAGGGGGGGAGAGGGGCGGGGGGAGAGAGAGATACCATAATCACTCATACAATGGTAATGATTCATGGTAGGAATTCTCTGTGCTCAAATACTTGTATTGCCCAAGTCTAATGGAGGATTATTAAATAAATCTACTGGGCAAATGGATATCTGTACGTTTGGACTAGACCCGTGATGGTGAACCTATGGCACGCGTGCCACAGGTGGCACACAGAGCCATATCAGTGGGCAAAGCGAGCGTTGCCCTAGTTCAGCTCCAGCGTGCATGGTGGGACCAGAAGTCGGAAAACGGGCCATTTCCGGCCTCCAGAGGGTAGAGTGGAAAAGGCCGTTTTTGCCCTCCCCAGGCTCCTAGAAAGCCTCTGTAGCCTGGGTTGGGCGAAAAACGGGCCTACCTGGTCCACTGTGCCATCACGTGCCAAAAGAGGGGAACTGGAGGGGGTGTAGCATGCGCATGCACAGAGGGGCAGGGCACATTGAATTATGGGTGAGGGTACGCACATATGTGACACACACACCCCGCGCTCCTCCCACTTTTGGCACACAACAGCAAAAAGATTCGCCATCCCTGGACTAGACTATTTACTTAATTAGTCTATATTTATTTTTGTTGCTTCCTGACAAAAGCATTTTTTCTAACTCTTTGCCATGTATATTTTTAAACATTTGAATGGTAACAACATGAAAAGCCATAATATAAGTGCTAAAAAAAGCAATTCAATGAATCAAATATACCAATAAGCTAAATCTAAATCAGTATGTAATTCCACAGTTCTGTGACTTGATTTTAAAGCACTTGGGAGATTAAAATCATGTCATCTAAATATGCTATTTCTTATGGAACTACTTTTGTTTGATGAACTGTTGCCCTTAGTACAACTTTGGTCAATCACAGTTAATGTGACTAACTCCCTTAGGCAACAGAAAGGGAAGGA